GGCTCCCAAGAAAGGTTTTGATTCTCCTTACTTCCATAATTCTTTTCCTTGGTTTGCGCTAGCAATCGTCCTTTCATCTATGCCATGATTTTTCAGACAGCTGTGATGCACAAAAACAATATATCAGTTTATTCGCCTACTGGAATGCAAACAACAGGACACTTTTACTGATCATCTCACAACATTTAAACAATAAAGAATTCTCAAAAACAGTTGTTTTTTGCTGATAAGTTCAGAGACGCCCCTAGACGACGTTCCCGATGGTTGTGTGGGTGGAGACGGACTATCACTGGGCTGCTCTTCCATACTTACTCTAGCAGAATGAAGAGCACCCCAATGAGGAAGATCCAATACTCGGCTATCGCCGTCCAAATGATTTGCGTGATCAATGCCCTTGAAGTTCGTATTTGTTCGAACACCTTCTGCAACTTCTTGACAGCACTTTCAGTTGGTTTTGAAAACGAATTCTCCGTTGAAAATAATATATCTAATAGAACATGCATTTGGCAGAGCAACCTGTTTGAGATCAATCATCAATTCGAAGGAAGTCGTTTGTCAAAAATATTGTAGGGCTGTTGAGTTCAAGGCACGTCGTACTTCGGGGATCACAAGCGAGGGAGGGGAGGGGGGGGGGGGTTGTAAGTTGGTCTGGAGGAAGGGAAGGAGGGACGTCGTGATTGCTTTTGAGAAAAATGTTTCTGCTTGTTGCTGTTCTTGCTTTTTTCCAGTTTGCTTGCTATATTACCACCCCCTGCCCTGCGCATGACAGTTTTTGAGGAAACAAGATATTTGTGGACGAAAAACTCCGGAACAGAAAGTGTGGGGGATCCAGGAAGATGGTAGGTAGGATGGGAGGGGTGAATTTCGCGCCAAGACTATCTGAGAGGAAGGTGTATTGCATCAAATTTTTCCCCAGCGCCAGAACATATCCTGCTGCTGGGGAAAAATGTTGGCCTGCTTTTCGTCTCAGACAGCGTGCCACGCAGCAGTCGGAATTGAGCTTTTGTAAATGGTTAGACACTAATATGAGTTAGAAGATCATTGTAGCAAAGAAGGCGCAATTCGACAACGAGGGGCATTTGGCACTTCTGCTACTTCCATCGACCTATATGGAGAGCTATTTCATGAGCTTACAAGACCGGTTCACAATACTCGCGTTCTACAGGTAATTTCCTAATTCGGAATACCCCCAGGCACTTCCAATCTACCAAGATCGCCTGAGAGCGCTGAACATGAGGAGTCTGAAATACCGAAGAATTTTCAATGACCTCGCTTTTCGCATTTTTAGGAGAGCCAGTAAATACTGGATTTTCCGACCGTACAGGAGGGTTGAGTGTGGAATCACAATCCACCACAAGAAATTAGAGCGACATCGTTTTAATGCTGTGTTTCATTCTTTCTTTTTCCGAGCGGCCAGGTGGTTGCGCATGCTACCCCATGATATGCTTTCCTGTAGTAATTCAAAGGAGTTCAAAGCACGTTTGAAAAAATCTGATATTTTCAGAATTCTGAAAGTTGAGGATGTACGGTAGCAAGATAGTAGTGGAATTTTGTTTTGCC